TATACCTGTTCTTTTTGTTTCTTTTGCAGAACACACACACACACACACACACACACACACACACACACACACCCTCGTTGACATTGTATTTGGTCAGTTTGTACATTTTAAGTGATTTCTCAAAATCTTCCTGCACACAAAAGCACCCATAATTGTGGATACATTTACAGATAACCACTCCCTTAAGACTGGAGTCTTTCACAATTTCATTCATTGTTCCTTATTGTCAGGGAAAAATGCTCCCAAATTATTACTGATCCCCAAGAATTAACAGGTATTAAAGCCCTACTGAAGGTTTACATCCATAAATGTGAGGGATGTCCTGACCTAAAACCAATGGGTAGCATGGCTCCTTCATCTCACCTCTCCCTTGTTTCTTTCTCTACTGCTTGCATTGCCAACTTCTCTGCCATGCTCATCCTGACCACTAACATTCAAGTACCACAGTAAACAGATACATCAGTGCACAGAAAACACATGTAGAAGGTTCTGGCCTCCTTGAGATAAGACTTGATTTTGTAAAGCATTATTTTTGACTAAGTGTTGCCTTCTGTATGATTCTCATAGCTTTCGTTAAATTTGGTTAATATCATGAGTCCATGATGTTTATTAAATCTATAGATTTAATTATAGTTTAAAAACTAAATTTCGGGGCTGGTAAGACAGCTCAGAGATAAAGGCACTTGCCATGCAAACTAATGACCAGGTTTGGTCCTCAGACCTCATGCAAAGTTAAAAGAAGAGAACAGGCTCCACAGTTGTCTTCTGGCCTCCACACATTCACCAGGGCCTGTGCATGACCTGCCGAGATACATATCTCTGTCTCTCTGTCTCTCTGTCTCTGTCTCTCTGTCTCTTTGTCTCACACACACACACACACACACACACACACACACACACATGCAAAAATTCTACACTGTTGGAACCTCAACTTCCTTGGTTTCAAATTCACTTCACCAGCGCATTAAGGGAGACTATAGATAGCCACTATTATCTGGCATCTAAGTACAACTGCTTACTTGACTCATTTATTCTGCCTTGACTCTTCCTTCCTGAGTGCTCTCACTCCTAATCAAAATGCAGAGGACTGGCAAATAGTGTCTGAGAGAATGCTATGGTATACAGCCTAGTTAACTGATTAACTGGGATGGGAAGAGACCCAGAGAAGAGGAGGAGACGGGGAAGGAGGAAGAGCAGGGAAAGGAAGAGAGGGGAAGAGGAGGGAGGTGAAGGGGGGAGGAGAGGAGAAAAGGGGAGGAAACTCTTCTGGGTATGTACTCTGAGTTCCACCTCACAGCCTAGTTATCATTCACCCAATCTTCAACTCCTGTCTAAGTATCATTTCTTACATAAAACACAGAGACAGAGAGAGAGAAAGAGAGAGAGAAAGAGAGAGAGAGAGAGAGAGAGAGAGAGAGAGAGAGAGAGAGAGAGAGAGAGAGAGAGAGAGAGATCCCTAAACCTCCAGGTCTTGACTGCCTGTACCCAGGGATTTCACGTCTTTGTGGTTATCCCAAAGGGTCACAGCAGCCTCTATTCTCTCCTATCACCAGAATGCCTGTCATAGTGCCTCTGTAAGCCTAGCACATATGACACACAAATGTGCTAAGATAAATGTCTCCCAATAAATATCTGGGGAGAAGGGGAGATTCAAGTTTCTTTATTGCAATGAAATGCTGTTAGTGTTTTTCTTATAATTTTTTAATTCAAAATAAAGATCAAAGATCTGTGAATGAGAAGGCAAAGTCAGGAGGGCTGGGATCTGACTCAGTGGTAGGATACTAGCCTAGCATGTGTGAGGTCCTGAGCTCAATCCCCAACACTGTCAAAGAAAGAATCTAAGGTACACTGGGGTAGGGCCCGACTGATGGAAATGATGCTGTTACACACCCAGGACAGCAAATTATCTTTCTGATTCTGTGCCAACCAGATCCCTGACAGAGATCTGTGCCTGTTCCAATTAACAAGGCAAGCCACTTCCAAATCTTAGAATCTGACCAGCCGCAGAGTTCCTGTCAAGCCAAGAAGTGAGCTTTCTCTAACATGGTGCCGGAGAAGTCAGGGCGGTCTCTACAGGATCATTGGACAAGACTTATGTGGGAAACAGACTTATTTTTTCCTTTCAAGAAAAAAAAAGTGTTTTAATAGCAAGAGAAGAAATAACACTGGATTAAATGCTTTTACATTTTCTCTGTTTAATTAATATTTGGGTTGCCAAAATGGACAGCCTCCCCTTCCCTGTTCTCTTCTCTCTCCTCCCTTCTTGCTCTTCCTCTAGTAGGCTCCCAACCCGTTACCTATCTATTTTGAGACAGTGTTTCAAGTTGTCAAATGTGACCTAGAACTCCTGATTTGCCCCACCTCCCAGTGTGAGATGACCGGCATGCATTACCATAGCCCAATGTATGTGGCACTGGGGATCAAACTCTAGGCTTCCTGCATCCTAGGCAAGCTGATGCATTAGCCCAAGTTCTGAGTAGCTTATGAGTCTTTTCCTCTATAAGCTTGCTCTTGGGGGACCAGCATGTCTTTGATGCCTGCTGTTCAGGACAAACAAGAAAAGCAGGAGGGGTCCTGGAGTCTGAAATACACAAGGTACTAGGTACTAACAATTCCTGAGCTGAGTCTCCCCATAGCAACGAATCCCCATGATCCATTCACCACACTGTAGGGGGTGGGGGGAACTCCTCTCAGGTCCCAGGTAGATAGTCTGAAAGAAAGCGATTTTTCAAGTCTCAGCTCTGCTTTTCTGTCCCATTAGTTCACCCCTCCAAATTTTCAAACCCTCATCTGCTGAGGGAGTGAGAATAAGTGAAGAGGATGAGAGGAGGCCCAATCAGCTCAGTGCCTGACATACTAAGTGCTTTGTCCATGCTAACCACAACCACAACACAACGTGTGGCAGTCACCGGCAAAACTCAGAACCGAATACAAGGCTTCTTGCTTGGCCAACTGGAAAAAAAAGAGTTGGCGCCACCTTATCAGGAAAACCAGACAGATGCAGTCAATTTTATTCAATTCTGTTTAATTCACTTTTGTTTTTGCTACATGTGCTATATTAAATTAAGGTGGAAAAAAGATATTAAGCTGAGTCATGTAAATGACAAGTTTTATCAATTAGACAAGTCTAAAATTCTGTACATATACCTCTCTTTTTCTAAATACAGAAAAGGATTTTGAAAAAAAAAAAGAGAGAGAGCTATTATAATGCTGTTTTGTATCCTGCTTTTTCTTGCCACTGAGACATGATCATCTTTTTTTTCTAAGTGATATAATACCAACGCCACCATTTAACTATCTAATAATATACACATGTAAGAAAATTCATCTAATCAATTTCATAAAATAGTTATTATTGGGGTTATAAGGATGTAGCCATGTACTCTAGACTCATCAGTTTGGTTCTAACTTGGGAAATATCCTACGATCCTAGGGCTTCATTTCTGCCATCTCAAAAATGAGAAATACCCTCTCTATAGATAAAGACTGTCCCATAGTTCAAACGAACAGACATATGAAAACATGTTTCTACATAATAAAGTACTACATAAATCCTTGTGCTTATCAAAGATGCTACACAGACACTCTCCTCCATAGAATGAAAACAAGGAAAAAATTTGTTTGACGCACTGTTGATCAAATTAAGGTCAAGTATACCCCTGTGGGATGCTCAGGCAGGACTGCTTCAGCCTGGTCTAGGTGCCTTTATCTGTCTACTCTTGTGATATGAAGCCAGTCTGTTTTATTCTTAGGGTGACATGGGAGCCAATGAAAACAATTTCTTTTGGAAAGCAGGATAAGCCATTAGATTAGTCTTAGCCACATGCTGTACCTGAGGTGTGCTTGCAAAATGGCCAGATACTAAATGTCCATCTCTTGAATGATTTCAAAAGGTCATAAAAGAAAGGAGGTCCAGCTGCCTTGGCAGGTCCCAGTACACACTGGGCTTAATGTTAGCATATTTAGAACCTTCCAAAGCCTCAGCTTCTCTCATTCCTACCTTCTAAAGCCATAGAAACAAATCTGCTTCCTTCAGACTTTAATGAATTTAAGCTTCCAAATAGGTTCTAATCTCAGGAGTTGAAGTAGACCATAGAAATTTCTAAAGTTCTTATATGTCCCACAAATTAGCTCTATAAGTTAGATTACTTACATAGTAAAAGAGAGACTTGCCTTTAAATGTGTCTTATTTCCCCATTGTTGTTACTCTCGAGTACATGGTAGAGACAAGAAGGTTTTCCAAACAACCCATTTCTTTAAGAACTGACCATTTATTAATAACAACTGGGAAGTAACAGCAAACACAACCCATTAGGGCCTGGTTAACGCCAGGCAGCCAGGTTTTGGCTGTTTGGGGTGTTGTTCTCTAATCTGCTGACGCGCAAGTGCTCCTGACTGAGGTGCTGCCCAAGCTGAAAAACCGAGGTGGGTGCTGCCTAACAAACCGATCCCAAGCACACAGCCGGCACACGTGTGCACGTTCACTGCACCTCTGGACAAAGCCACTGAAATCTACCGTCCACCTCCTCAAATGCAATCCCTCTTCCAAAAGCAAGACTTGAGTAGAAAATTAAAAAACAAAAACTTACAGGATAAAACTACAAAAGTGGGAAATTTTCAGTGCCTTACATGGCAATTTGCAATTGTGGTTCTGCAGAATTCATGGTAGCATGGGTGAGGCACAAGGTTTACTGGGAGGAATGATTAAAAACTTGCTCATATTTTATAGAGGCGGCTATGAAAGGAAACTAAAATCATATGCTATGCTCAAGCAAGAAAAAAAAAAGGGAAGGAAGGAAATACCCCCAACTACCAATCAAGTCTATCTTGTGGTGGTTTTTTCTTTCTTCTATTTTTTTTTGTACTTTTTTTTTAGTCTGCCACATGTATGGTAAAACAAACTGATAGTTGAACAAATCAAGCTTACGTTCCACATAACATTCCTGTAGGAACCATCAAAGCACAATTCTGAGCACAGATCAACAAACAGTGCAACCCACCTGTGTGTCTGCGTCCAGCGCCCAGCCTCCTCCCGACGCCCTGCCTTTCCACTCTGCCCTCTCTCCCGGCTTTCTCCCCCCATAGGATGCAGCTTGTTCATTTAAAGCAAAAGTGAAACGGCCAGCTCTGCCTTATGAACGGTGTCAGCCAATAGCAAGAAAAGAAGGAACTTGGGTCAGCAGGTCCTCAGCTTGGTAGTAGGATCGTGGGAATGGGTGCTGGCTTCCTTTTTTCGGAAGGCAGAGAATTTCCAGTTAGTGACCATCGTACCAAGTCACCCTGGAATTGCTGTCCTCTAATGCCTGTTTTTGGATTCTGTTGTTAGGATTTCTCTTCTTTCTTTCTTTTTTCTTTTAATCAGATGTGATGGGCGGGGGTGGGGGGCAGCAGTTAAGTGGCTTTTATTACTCCGAAAGGGTTTCTGTTTCCATGACAAGCCCATCAACTCAGCTTTTCACACTCAGCCCTGCGGGCAGCTTTATATAAAGCACTCTCACTCCCCTCTGACTTTCCCGTGCACTCTGGCAAAGGTCTTAACTCACTCTGCTAAAAAGTCTCTGTGAAGGTCACCGCTGGTCTCATTGCTCCCGTAATGTGTCCCCTTGTCCTTTCCCTCTTGCTTGAGCAGTTAACTGTGGAAACTCTCTCACCATGTTTCTCAATCCACCTGGCTCTTTCCCCAACTTTCAGCCTGGTTCTCTGCCTCCTGAGACTGCTCGAATGAGAAATGCCCACCCACCCACCTCTGCTGGTAGGCTTAGGTATTTGAACACTGGGTCTCCAGTTAGTGGTGCTGGTGCTATCTGGAGAGGTGGTGTAGCCTTGCAGGAGAATCACGCCGCAGGTGGTGGGGTCTGAGAGTTTATAGCCTCACTCCAGTTCCAATTTGCTCTCTCTGCTTCATATTTTGCAGTTAAAAATGGGATCTTCAGCTTTCTGCTTCTGGCTGCCTGCTGCCATGGCTACCTGCTACCATACCCCCCCCCTCTCTCTCTCTCAGTCTCTCTCTCTCTCTCTCTCTCTCTCTCTCTCTCTCTCTCTCTCTCTCTCTCTCTCTCTCTCTCTCTCTCTCTGGACTCATAAACCCCAACAAACTCCTTCTTCCTGAGGTTGCCTTTGGTCATGATATTTTATTATAGCAACAGAATAGTAACTCCTTTTCAGATTCTTCTTTTCCTACTATTTTGACAGGTGTGAGCTTTTCCTGAAGATCTATCTTCTGATCTCTTTGTTTCCTCTTCTCTTGCCTGTGTATACCTTATCCTCAGTCAAGACAGAATTTAACATGACCGAAAGAGAATCTTAACTTGTCATACCAAGCCTTACTGTGCCCCAGCTTTCCAAACCATGCCAATGGCACCACAATAAGCCACCCAATTAATTCAACCATAAAGTCAAAAGAAGTTACTCAATGCTTTTCTTCCTCCCACTCCCTACACTCAATACATTCCATTTGTTCTGCCTGCAAAATATTTCCACTATCCCCAACCCTGTTCAAATCCTTCTCATTTTGTGCATGGCCAGCTGTAGAAATGGCCCACAGCTATAGCCCAGTTGCAAGGCATTTGTTTAGCATGTGCAAGGTCCTGGGTTTAATTCCACAAAGTAGAAAGAAGAAATAGAAAAGCAAGAGAAGGAGAAAAGTGCAGCAACATTGGGAAATAAAGGATTAATACACCCTTCAAAATTGGAATGAAGTAAAAGTATGTTTGTATCATCTTGTAAATAGATGCACAACACAAAACCTATTCAAACTAATAACCAGATAGAATAAGGTTGTGGGACACAAAGTCAACACACACAGCAGCTGCACTTCTGTATGTTAATGGATGACCAATCCAAAAAGGAAGCAGTTCACTTCTAAAGCATCAAGAAGAATCAAATATCAACTTAACAAGAAGGGGAAATATATATACACTACTGGCTGCAAAACATCCCCCCTCAAAAAAAACAAAAACAGAGTAAATAGAAAGATGTCTTATGCTTATGAATTGAAAGACTTAAGTATTGCTAGGATTTTAATACAATACAAATTAATACAAAGAATTGTTGTGTTCTCTATCAAGATCCCAATAATAGTTTTCACAGAAGTGGAAAAAACAATTTTAAAGTTCATAAAGTATCTAAAATGTCCTCTGAATAGACGATATTATCTTGAAACAGACAATCAAGTTAAAAGCCTCAAACTTCAGAATATCAAAACAATACAATACTATAGCAATCATAACAGTATAGTCAATATAATTACAGACACATAGACCAATGGAAGAAAATAGAGTGTCCCAAATTAACCCTTCCATACATGATTAAATCATTTTAAGCAAGGTGCCATGATCATCTAATGGGAAAGGATAGTATTTTCAATAAATTCTGTGGGGGGGGAATTGAATTCATATACTAAACGAAGTTAGAGTATTACTCAGTACTATATACTCATATACAAAACATAACTAAAATCGGTAAAAGACCTAAATATAAGAACTAAAACTATAAAAGTCTCAGAAAATATGCAATGAAGCCGGGTATTGGTGGTGCACGCCTTTAATCCCAGCACTCGGGAGGCAGAGGCAGACAGGTCTCTGTGAGTTCGAGGCCAGCCTGGTCTACAGAACGAGTTCCAAGACAGCCTCCAAAATAATACAGAGAAACCCTGTCTCAAAAAAACAAAAAAAAGAAAATATACAATGAAACATTTATGATTTGTAATTTGACAATGATTTCTTGATTATGACGCTAAAGTTACAGTCAAAGAAATAGACAAATTCAGTATTATCTCAATGAAAAAATGTGTGGATCAAAAGTTACTAATAAGCTGGGGATGGGAATGTAGCTCATGGAACACTGCTTGCCTAAGCATGTGAAGCCCTGGCTTCCATCACATACAAAGAAAGTCACTAACATTGTAATACAAAGTCAGTATACAAAAGCGAGAACATATATGGAACTCTCATATAATAAGGAATATTTTATAGAATTATAGAAAACTCTTCCAATGTTTTTTCACACTTAAATGTGAAAACACCTGAATAGCTAATTCTCTAGAAAAGGCATATAAATAGGGCCTATATAAAAGATACCATCTCTCTGGCCAGAAAAGCAAGTAGACTAACAGGTGATCTTCACATCTCCCTGCTTTCCTCCAAATCCAATTCCCAGTTTCATCATCCACTCTGTACTTCACCTCCCTCCTGATTCAGCCTCTCTGTCTTCTCTGTTCCCATTTCCAGTTAATCATGCAGTTCTCCTCCTCATGCCTACCTACCCACACACACACACACACACACTCACACACACACACTAGCTCAGTCTCCAACTTGAGACAGCAATCCCTGGGACCCCACCTTCCTATATACAAATGACAAGTGGACTGAGAAAGAAATCAGGGAAACATCACCTTCCACAATCATCTCAAACAACATAAAATATCTTGGCATAACTCTAACCAAACAAGTGAAAGATTTGTGTGATTAAAAACTTTAAAACACTGAAGAAAGAAATTGAAGAAAATATCAGAAGACAGGAAGATCTCCCATTCTCATGAATCAGTAGGATTAATACAGTAAAAAATGTCCATCCTACCAAAATCAATCTGCAGATACAATGCAAACACCATCAAAATTCCAACACAATTCAAAAATCTTGATAGGGTAATTTTTGCTTTATATGGAAGCACACACACACACACACACACACACACACACACACAAAACAGAATAGCTAAAACAATCCTGAATAATAAAACAACTGCTGGAGGTGTCACTCTTCCCAACTTCAAACTGTACTACAGAGCTATAGTACAAGAAACAATAGGGTACTGGCATAAAAGTATATGTGTTGATTAATGGAATCAAACTGAAGATGCAGACATGAATCCACACACTTATGGACACCTCATTTTGGATAAAGAAGCCAGAAATATAATGGAAAAAAAGACAACATCTTTAATGAACAGTGCTTGTCAAACTGGATGGCTACAGATCTAAATAGGTCTATACTTTTATCACCCTGCACAAAATTCAACTCCAAATGGATCATGGCCCTTGCCTTAAGGGACAGACACACTGAACCTGACAGAAGAGAAAATAAGGAATAGCCTTGAACTCAACGGCACAGGTAAACACTTTGTGAACAGAACACCAACACTAATCAACAATTAATAAATGGGACCTCATGAAACTGAAAACTGTATGGCAAAGGACACTGTCATTTGTACAAAGCATGAGGCTACAGAATGGGAAAATATTTTTTACCAACTATATATCAGATAGAGGACTAATATCCAAAATATATAAAGAATCCAAAACTACAATTTTTAAAAATTGGGTACAGATTTAAACAGATAATTCTCAAAAGAGAAAGCTCAAATAGCTGAAGAATACTTAAAGAAATGTTCAGCATCTTTAGCTGTTGGGAAAACACAAATCAAAACTACTTTGAGATTTTATCTTACACCAATCAGAATTGTCTTAGTTACGGTTGCTATTGCTGTGAAGAGACACCATGACCATGGCAACTCTTATAAAGGAAAACATTTAATTGAGGTAACAGCTTACTGTTCAGAGGTATTCAGTTCATTATCATCATGGGAGAACTTGGTGGCATGCAGGCAGACATGGTACTGGCTACATTTTGATCAGAAAGAAACAGGAAGTAAACTGAGAAGCTGGGTGGTATCTTGAGCATATATGAGACCTCAAAGCCCACTTCCATAGTGACACACTTCCTCCAGCAAGACCATACCTACTCCAACAAGGTCACACTTCCTAATAGTGCCACTCCCTATGAGATTATGGGGCCAATTCATTAAAACTATCACAAGAATGCCTAAGATCAATAAAATAAATGGTATCTTGTGTTAGGAAGGATATGGAATTTGGGGAACACTCATCCATTGCTGATAAGACTGAAAATTTGTACAGCCACTGTGGAAACCAGTATGGCAGTACTCAGGAAGACAGTAATTATCTACCTCAAGATCCAGCATATACCCAAAGGATGCTTCATCCTATCAAAGAGATAAATACTTGCCCAACCATGTTCTGGGCTATACTCATAATAGCCAGAAACTGTAAACAACCTAGATGTCTGTGAATAGGTGAATGGATAAAGAAAAAGTGGTACATTTATACATTGGAACATTACTTGGCCATTAAGAAGAATTAAACTCAAAGGTAAATTAATGGAACTACAACAAACCATTCTAAGTGAGGTAACACAGACATATATAATGTGTGTGTGTGTGTGTGTGTGTGTGTTTTATCAGAATGACTTATAGACTATGGTCTGTAAAACAAGTCCCTCTAAATCAACAGGATAGATGCACGTATGAACTCACAGAGACTAAGGCAGTAGGTATAGGGCCT